AGCCCGAACTTAATGGATGGATAAAGATACATGTAGGCGTAAGCTTTTCTCTTGTTTTGTTATTCCAAAAAAGACTTGCAATTTTCTCGTGTACTTTTTTGCTGCTGTGTAAAAGGAATTTGGAGAAACCGAACAACTTTTTGGTCTGCTCTTTGTTTTAGCAAAGATGCCCACCCCTTTCTTAATTCCCAGCTCTTCATATAACATGCTCGATTCGTTTCCGTCACGTGACAAGAGTGGTCGCAGAAACGCAGGCTTCCTTTACTTAGATTTCCGTTTTTATTTTCGTCGCTAATAGGTAACAGCGAGCAACGCTGGAGTTTATGTGTAGTTTTAAAATCATTATAGCGCCTGAGCGCTTCTTTGGCTTCTTTTGCCTCGCGGTAAACTCGGAAATCATTTTCTCTGCAAATAACGCTTTATTCGTACGCTTGCTGAAACTATTACAATATTAGAGCACTCCTTTTATGTATTTATTTGTTAATTTGGCGGCGTCTCTCTTTTTTATCCTTCGATTGAATTGCTTTTCTCAGTAAATCGGCAGAACAACGCTTGATATAGTTTGGGAATTTAAAGACTAGGCATGTGAGATGTTAGTCTTCCACGCAGACGTTCTTAGGGGTTCTTCACGCGTTCCCGCCCCACTAGTGGTGTAAGTGGGGCAGGAACGCGTGACGATCCCCTAAGAACGTCTGCGTGGGAGGCTAGTGGGATATGTATTCGCCTCTGGTGTAATTTTCTCTTTTGTTAACCATTGAACGCGTATGAGTGACATGCATTCAATTTTTGGTTCGATTTCATTCGTTTTGTGATTTTGTTTTAATCACCTTGTTTCTTGTATGTATGTAAGCATATTATTTTGAATGCTGCAGCTTGCAATCAAACAAATGAAATAAAGTTATTAATCAAGTCAATGTTTGAATGAAACGGTAATTGTGATCATTCAAACGCAACTGATCGAGGTTTTGTGATTTTGGGCATTTGTCAATGAAAATATCTGACTTAAATGGTTATTCGAAAAAACAAAAAAAACCTATAGTCGAAAATTTCTTTAGCACTTCCTACAGCTGCATCTGATAGCAAAAGCTTCTGATATTGCCCGCTCAAGTTACACGGAATGGATTCCCTGTTAAGGACAGGTTATACACCATGCTATGACTATTTACCTCATTGCATACACGTCCTGGTAACATTTTTCCTAGAAGTTAAACCCTGAGGGGAAAAGCAGACTTGTGGCAAGGGAACCGCCTTACCTCCAAACACGAACTAGAAATGGTTACTTTAGTGGGACGGGGTCGGGAACAACTCTGTAAACTTACACCTTCAAGAAAATGATATTTCAAGAAAAGAATATTTGAAAAGGACATTTGTTGTTCATTCGTTAGGCTCCAAACCATTAAAGTATTAAAAATAAGATGTCTGGTTAGTTTATTTAAGCAAAATTATGTGATCCTGATAAGGCGCAAAAGGTTAATACTACACGGAAACATTTAACACAATGCGGAAATACTGAACTCTAGAATTGAAAAACCTGGAAATCGACACAGAGACACTGCAAATTTGATGGTTATTTTCCTGGCTACACACTGCCTACAGAAATAGCTGTCATCTATACCGAGTCCTCTTAGCAGCTAACTTGTTTTGCCTTCGAACAGCATCCTTTCGTTTTCGTTTGTAATCTTGAGTGAGTTCAGACCTAACCGACACCCAATATTCATTAGCATCGTCCTCGCTCCCTATCCGCATAAACGGCGTGTCATTGTCTGAAATAAGAAAGTTAGAAACTGTTACAAAGAAGTAACCAAATAAACTTCGGATGAAACTGACTGTGTAAAGCACAGACTCATTCTCCTTAAATATCATTATAGCGGAGCTTTATGGGTACGAAACCATGGTTCAGTGGAACCTCTATTCAAGGGACACCCTTGGGACCGAGGCAAATGTCCCGTGAACAGAGTTGTCCCTGAATAGAAGTGTGGCTGGGGTTTGTTAATAATTAACCAACAAAGGAAAAATGTATATTCACGACCAGTATCACCTCTAGTATCTTGACCCTAGGTCACCTTGACCTATAGCACAGAGTACCACAGACTGTTTATTTCTTATCTCTACATTATGTGTTAACTTCAAACAAATACACTGCATCGATTTTATAAGTGAAATAGATCAGTTTGTGAAAGCTTCCATTTCAGCTACAAATGCCTATGTAACGATGATGGTTTCACAACCAACGAAAACAAGACACAATGCATTGACATCGACGAATGCGCAACCAACAATGGTGGCTGTGGAAAGCATAAGTGCGTCAATAGATATGGCACTTACCAATGCGAATGTCTGCCTGGATACAAACTTGATCCGACGTAAGTTTACTAGTACACTTGATCAATGGTGGCTCGCTACAGTTAGCTAGTATGTAAGAATTACTTACTCACAAGGCGAAGTACGTTGTATCATCTACAGAATATGATATGTTAAAACCACTGTCGACTATATAAAGTAGTGATGACAATGAAAAGCGAAAGTAGAGGATTAGTCATGTCGTTAGACCCAGGTAGTCGAATAACGCTCTCCAAGCCCGGGCGAGTGCGACTTTCTCATGGGGTCTTGGAGAAGGTATGATGTCAAGAATAGTAACTGGAACAACTGTGCAGAGTCCGAGAGTGCTTTTGGTTTTGTACAACCACAACTATAGGAACTCTCCCACTAAGGAGAAATACCTGTCTTGAGTTTTATGTATCAAGCGCGGTTTTCAGTATCCTGTATGCCAGTGACTTCATGCGCGATATCTGGGGATCTGTCTAGCCATCCCCGTTCGTGGCAGCGGCCTTCGGCCGAACATGGATATGTCGGACTGCAGCCGAGTAAGAAGCATCCCGCAGCACTCGACAAAAATCCTCCGGTACCCATGGCAGTTTCGCAGCCCAATTTATGTTAAACGAAATGATATTAATGCTGTATGTTCATCACTGCATTAGAGGCTCTTCAGATGACATTTAACAATTGATAGCCCTTTTACTGTATTCTGCAGGACCAACACTTGCGTAGACATAAACGAATGCGCAACGAATAACCACAAAGGGGACTGTGATCAGATATGCGAGAACACGCCAGGATCATACAAGTGTAGCTGTAGAGATGGCTACAAGCTTAGACATGAGAAGCGATGTCTTGATATCGACGAATGCGCAATAGACGCTGATAATTGCCAGCACAACTGCACCAATACCAATGGAAGGTACCTGATTATAAGGCTTGCATTGCAGGATATTTAATATTAATTGTTATACATTATACTCATTATCTGTCTTCTTACTGGCTAATAGCCTACGGATAATTTTGAGAATCCGCGTAGCTTACAGATTAGTTAGTTCAGATAACTGACTAATCTGTGGGTCGCGAGAGCGATGCATAATTTCTACGAACAATATCAATTCCGTTCCTTTCAAAAAATAATAAAACAATAATTAGATTCGGTTTTTTGTTATATCCTAAATAATAAAGGTCTCGGTAAGTGTTATCAGTCGACCCTGATTATTCCGGGTATCACAAAAACCCCATCCAATAATTGTTTAAAATTTCGATCCACACAAATCATAGATGGATCAGCTATAACTAAATGTCGGTGTAGTCAACTGGGATGTACTGAGATTGCGACGTTTCGGCTGCTTACTGCTAGTCTTCACCAGGCCATGAGGTGACGCTGTTCTGTAATTTTTGGTTGAAAATTCGCTTCAGCCAATCGGAAGTAAAACCTAGTTCAGGGCAGTGACGTGTCAATAGAATGGAATTTCTGCGCTCGTCCCTCAGACGTCACTTCGTAGGAAAACCGTTGCTAGCGTCGCGGAATGTCGGTTGTTTTCTCAAGCTACTAAACGCATGGAGTTTTGGGAATAGGCTGAAACCTGAGTATTGAACAATGTGTCTTTCTTTTCTTTTTTTCACATTTAGTTATACCTGTTCATGTCAGGACGGATTTTTTCTCTCCATTGATGGCCACTCTTGCAGCAAAAAGAAACACATTCAAGGTAAGAACTCGTTACGTCACGAACACTGACTTTAGGATTTCATTTAAATAAATTTCGCAAATTTACAGTATTCCAAGACGAGACTTCGCCGTAAAGTCTTCTTGTGACATTAGGATGTACATCAGCTAGTTTAGTCTGCAATTAAGTGTATATTTCTCCATCAAGTCTCCTGTAATTCGTGCGAATTTGTGGCGGCTCATTACCTTAAAGGAGCTGTGTCACGAAAATCAGCCAAATTAGGAAATTACAAAATGCCCGTGGTTAAATTAAGAGAAACATAAAAATAACCGCTAAGAACTTTAAAAGAAGGTTAAAATAACATAGCAGATATAACAGATGTCACGGAAGGGCAAAACTGAAGAAGATTGAAACGGATTGAAATTCTAGGATTTTTGAAAACTGTTCAGCCTAACAGTTTTTCAAAGTTGACCCCTGCCGCTTGCAACTTCCAAAATAATGCCCAGGAGACATATTTGTTTGTCTCCGATCTCTGATTTTGTCATTTACATGTAATTTCTTACTTACTTTAAATTCCATAGCGACTGCATGGCGAGTAATTGGCAAAGTTAAACAAAATGGACTGGCCTACCGTGACACAGCCCCTTTAAATTCCATTCTGCCGAGGCTTTCGCTCACCATTTTGCCCTTGCGAGCATTATTTTAACAATCACAAAGAGCTGAACGAAAGCAAGCCACGGCTCTTATCGTCTTAAAAAAAAGTAATGGCATGTCGAAAGAAGTAGCTATTTAAATTTCCCTAAGAATTGCTATTTCGGTCATACGTGCAGTGGGCAGTTAACTTCAGAATTCTAAAGGAAAAACAACCTTGACTTTTTTTTTATGATTGCAGAGTGTGGCATTGCACCTCGAGAAAGCAAAACAGTCTCTGGGAAATGGCGTCCACAGACAAGCCCCACCTGGCCCTGGACAGCACTTCTTCATTTCAGCATCTTTGGAGATATCGAAGGCTGCATGGCAACCTTGATAGACAAGGAATGGCTCATAACCGCTGCTCGTTGCCTTTACCTGGCGCTTGGACCTGCTGGCTCAAAATTTGCTCCAATTCCCGCACCTCACATCAAGGTTGAACTTGGAGCGTTTAAACGAGGGTCATCCAATCACCAACCAGTACTTCATCAAGTGTCCGAAATAGTAATCCACAAAGATTTTGATCCCAAGAAGCTGTCAGGAAACATCGCGCTGGTTCGTTTGGCCAAACCAGTGAAATTCACCTCCAAAATAAGCCCAATCTGTATGCCGACTAGAACGGAGGTCCAGAGTATTTTACAACATGGAAACTCCATCGGTGTTGTAGTTGGGTGGGGTAAGGATGTAAATCACCGAGTCAAAAGCTCTCTGCACGAGGCAGCTGTATCTGTAGTACATCGATCTCATTGCAAGTGGGCCAACATGAGCTTCGTGGTTAACAACATGATATGCGCTGGTTACAAGGAACAGCAGGACAAGACCTGTATTGGTGACAGTGGTTCCCCATTGATGTTCTTGGTCGCTAGCCGTGGTCAACACCCCACTAAGTGGGTACTAGGTGGAGTCATGAGCTGGGGCTTGAAAGAATTTCTGCATGGCTGCCATAGCAACTACCGTTATACTGCATACACCAGTGTTGGGAGAAACTTGAAGTGGATCAAGTTCAAAGGCAAGAGCCACAAGGGGAATACTAAATAGGGACTCAGCAGCGAAGGACTTTCAAATACTTACTAAGGAACAGAGCTTTGCCAACATTAGTGCCAATCATTCGATGTAGTATATACAGCGTAAAGTTACAGACTGATATGGCTGCATTTTCTCGAAAAAAGTAGTCGGGGAGCCCGAACTTAATGGATGGATAAAGATACATGTAGGCGTATGCTTTTCTCTTGTTTTGTTATTCCAAAAACGACGTGCTATTTTCTTGTGTACTTTTTTGCTGCTGTGTAAAAGGAATTTGGAGAAACCGAACAACTTATGGTCTACTCTTTGTTTTAGCAAAGATGCCCATCCCTTTCTTAATTCCCAGCTCTTCATATAACATGCTCGATTCGTTTCCGTCACGTGATAAGAGTGGTCGCAGAAACGCAGGCTTCCTTTACTTTGATTTCCGTTTTTATTTTCCTCGCTAATAGGTAACAGCGAGCAACGCTGGAGTTTATGTGTATGTTTAAAATCATCATAGCGCCTGAGCGCTTCTTTGGCTTCTTTTGCCTCGCGGTAAACTCGGAAATCATTCTTCTCTGCAAATAACGCTTTACTCGTACGCTTGCTGGAACTATTACAATATTAGAGCACTCCTTTTATGTATTTATTTGTTAATTTGGCGGCGTCTCTCTTTTTTATCCTTCGATTGAATTGCTTTTCTCGGTAAATCGGCAGAACAACGCTTGATATAGTTTTGGAATTTAAAGACTAGGCATGTGGCATATTAGCCTCCCACGCAGACGTTCTTAGGGGTTCTTCACGCGTTCCCGCCCCACTAGTGGTGTTAGTGGGGCTGGAACGCGTGACGATCCCCTAAGAACGTCTGCGTGGGAGGCTAGTGGGGAACGCGTGACGATCCCCTAAGAACGTCTGCGTGGGAGGCTAGTGGGATATGCATTCGCCTCTGGTGTAATTTTCTCCTTTGTTAACCATTGAACGCGTATGAGTGACATGCATTCAATTTCTGGTTCGATTGCATTCGTTTTGTGATTTTGTTTTAATCACCTTGTTTCTTGTATGTATGTAAGCATATCATTTTGAATGCTGCAGCTTGCAATCAAACAAATGAAATAAAGTTATTAATCAAGTCAATGTTTGAATGAAACGGTAATTGTGATCATTCAAACGCAACTGATCGAGGTTTTGTGATTTTGGGCATCTGTCAATGAAAATATCAGACTTAAATGTTTATTCGAAGAAAAAAAGCCCATAGTCGAAAATTTCTTTAGCACTTCCTACAGCTGCATCTGATAGTATGAGCTTCTGATATTGCCCGCTCAAGTTACATGGAATGGATTCCCTAGTAAGGAGAAGTTATACACCATGCTATGACTGTTTGCCTCACTGCATACACGTCCTGGTAACATTTTTCCTAGAAGTAAACCCCTGAGGGGAAAAGCAGACTTGTGGCAAGGGAACCGCCTTACCCCCAAACACTAACTAGAAATGGTTATTTTAGTGGGTATCTGGTCCAAAATATGGCGGGGTCGGGAACAACTCTGTAAACCTACACCTTCAAGAAAATGATATTTCGAGAAAAGAATATTTGAAAAGGACATTTGTTGTTCATTCGTTAGGCTCCAAACCATTAAAGTATTAAAAATAAGATTTCTGGTTAGTTTATTTAAGCAAAACTATGTGATCCCGATAAGGCGCAAAAGGTTAATACTACACGGAAACATTTAACACAATGTGGAAATACTGAACTCTAGAATTGAAAAACCTGGAAATCGACACAGAGACACTGCAAATTTGCTGGTTATTTTCCAGGCTACACTCTGCGAACAGAAATAGCTGTCATCTATACCGAGTCCTCTTAGCAGCTAACTTGTTTTGCCTACGAACAGCATCCTTTCGTTTTCGTTTGTAATCCTGAGTGAGTTCAGACCTAACTGACACCCAATATTCATTAACATTTTCCTCGCTCCCTATCCGCATAAACGGCGTGTCATTGTCTGAAATAAGAAAGTTAGAAACTGTTACAAAGAAGTAAGCAAATAAACTTCGGATGAAAATGACTGTGGAAAGCACAGACTCATTCTCCTTAAATATCATTATAGCGGAGCTTTATGGGTACGAAACCATGGTTCAGTGGAACCTCTATTCAAGGGACACACTTGGGACCGAGGCAAATGTCCCGTGAACAGAGTTGTCCCTGAATAGAAGTGTGGCTGGGGTTTGTTAATAATTAACCAACAAAGGAAAAATGTATATTCACGACCAGTATGACCTCTAGTATCTTGACCTTAGGTCACCTTGACCTATAGCACAGAGTACCACAGACTGTTTATTTCTTATCTCTACATTATGTGTTAACTTCAAACAAATACACTGCATCGATTTTATAAGTGAAATAGATCAGTTTGTGAAAGCTTCCATAATTGTGATTAGTGTACACTTAAGGACATCAACCCTCTTTGTGCTCAGTCACTTTTTGAGAGCTAAGGTGTCCCCTGAAATGGAGGCCAAACAGAGGTTTCGGGACCCAGAAAAAAGTGTCCCATTCTTCTGAATAGAGGTGTCCCTTCAATAGAGGTAATAGATACAAANAAAGCACAGACTCATTCTCCTTAAATATCATTATAGCGGAGCTTTATGGGTACGAAACCATGGTTCAGTGGAACCTCTATTCAAGGGACACACTTGGGACCGAGGCAAATGTCCCGTGAACAGAGTTGTCCCTGAATAGAAGTGTGGCTGGGGTTTGTTAATAATTAACCAACAAAGGAAAAATGTATATTCACGACCAGTATGACCTCTAGTATCTTGACCTTAGGTCACCTTGACCTATAGCACAGAGTACCACAGACTGTTTATTTCTTATCTCTACATTATGTGTTAACTTCAAACAAATACACTGCATCGATTTTATAAGTGAAATAGATCAGTTTGTGAAAGCTTCCATAATTGTGATTAGTGTACACTTAAGGACATCAACCCTCTTTGTGCTCAGTCACTTTTTGAGAGCTAAGGTGTCCCCTGAAATGGAGGCCAAACAGAGGTTTCGGGACCCAGAAAAAAGTGTCCCATTCTTCTGAATAGAGGTGTCCCTTCAATAGAGGTAATAGATACAAAGATTATGTGGGCGTTTTTCAGGGACCAAATTTTGTGTCCCCTGAATGGAGGTGTCTCAAAGGAGAGGTTCCACTGTATTCGTCCTTACAAGTATTTCCGTTGTCTAGTGACAGAACAGCGAAGGAAAATACACTGTACAAATAGATACGTAGTCCATAGAACCCTGGAAGGCAACAGAAAGATGTTACGTTACGTGATCAAAATGTGCATTCTCGGCGTCTTCGCATTTTCCCGCCACACTCCGGAACTTCTAGTGGCAAGTTGGGACTCCGCCTTAAGGGCATGTCTCGCCCGTAGTAGAAACAAAGAGGCGGACTCGCCTTTCCTTCTGATTGAAAGCACACGACACTGAGTCGTAGCTAATGACTAAAGACAACTTACCATTGATGCGGTTTTCCAATTCCGGATCATCTGCATGAAAAAAGAACAGTTCCTTCAGCTGAAAAGTCGATTTATTTAAAGTGCCTCCATTACCAGCAGCATCATCAATACCCATGCCTTCTTCATTGTAATCATCGCTATCGCTACTACTGTCATAAGGAAGGTGGGTTGTCTGCCATGGATTCTTTAGTATCTCTTCAACTGTACCCCCAGGTTTTTCATCCGCGGCAGCTGAATCAGAGTCATCTTCCGTTTCTTGAGGAAGAAAACTGAAAGAAGATCCCCTCTGTAAGCAAGAGAAGAAGGTAGCTCAGATTAATGACTAGGGCACATCAAAATAGATGGCGCCGTCATTAAGTGCATCAGTGTAGACGGCGTAGCTAGCGGTTTTGGTTGGGGAGGGGAAATGGCGAGCGGTGAAGTTGCGAGGAGAATAAGCCGGAAATAACGAGAATCACTTTCCCCGGGGCTTCGCCGCTTGCGCGCTTTCGCAGATTCGCCGCTAATTTGCGCGCTCGTCGGACAAAACAGAGAGTTTCGCACTGAAATAGTGTTTTCTATGGTAAAGCACTGACAAGAGTCATCGAGGTTAAGCACTGAGTCGAAATTGTAAGCACTTACTTTGTAGGTTAAGTTTTTTTTTTTTTCCCAGAAGAACCGTAAGTATTTATCAACACAGCTCTCACCTCTTTCTTGTTCCCAAACAGCACAGCCAGTGAAGACGTATTTGCTTCATAATACTTTTCGTGCGACACTATGGGCAACACCGGGTCATCCACTACCTGAACAGCACTTGGTTCATCCCGTATTCTCTCCTTGTCTTTCTTTGCAGTTGTTTGCTCAAACTGCTTATGGTCTTCTCGTTCAGGGTCATAATGTACTGTTACAGAGCCTCTGTATATTCCCACACGGTAGGGTAAATGTAAATACAAAAAACAACGACAACTATTAACTCTTTCTCTTACACATACGACTTAGTTCTAACGTATGTGGTCGAAGTCATTGGGTATAACCATCCAATTGAAACCTCATTAGTAGGTCATTCACATGATACTAATAAATGTTGGAATGTAGTTCTAACTTTTGAGTCTGGACGAAGTCATATGGTACGACCATTCAAATGAACCCCTCTGCATGTATCAGATCTTTCACATGGCACTAACTGGAATGTATTTATAACTTTTGAGCCTGCGGCTGAATTCCTATGAGGAAAACTTTCTGCAGCAGTACTCTCACATTGCACTATTTAGGGTGTAGTTCTGTACAAAATTTCTGTACCCACTGAAGTTGTCATTAGGTGTGGTAAAGGTAGTGTTTTGCAAAGGTGTCCAGGGCATTTGTTTTCTGAGAAGTCATTATATATGTGTATGGATTTGAGACCGAGAAAAAGGACCGGAGGAACCAACTTAAGTCGGGACTAATCTCCGCCCAAAAGGTTGCTGAGAACTTTTAACGCCATCTCCTTTTCCTGTTTAAGATCTGCGCTAATGCCATCCTCTACTTCCTTGGTAACATCTTTGCTGTTGTATTTGGAT